CCAGGGACTGTGGGCAGATGCAAGATTAGCCCATCAGGTATAACCCTAAATGGTCTTACACTTAACCTCTCAGCCCATAATGATCCAAACACTGCCCGACAAGAGAGGACCTCTCCCTCGACTGCAAGGCACAGTGTTGCACTCTCCTCTAGGATGGACCTCGGGGGTTAAAACCTTTTTGCAAACGAGTTGAAACTGTACATATATATTATATCATTATAAATATATTTTGCACAACAAAATTCCAACGGTTGAAATCGGTTGCCGGCAGTCTTGGTTTCCATCAGAGAGAGTGCATCCCCGATCATTACCTTTGTCCGACAAAGGAGCTGATCATGTCACTATGATCACCCACTCAGATGGGTTCATGAACCATCCCAACATACCCAGGTTTTGACCCCCTCTAAGGATCTCACTAATTGGCATATCAAAGACAGCCCAATCCGCCACCTAGTGTAGTATCATAATCAAGTCTAGGGGTCAGGTGTAACTTTCCAGTTTTGCCCACTCATCAGCAAGGTCCAGGGCAATACTGGAAATCTGGTCCGGTTCAGGGTTTCAAGTTGAACCCTCATTGCATGTACCTCGGGTCTTACCCTGGCGGCTGAGACAAGCCTCCCCAACCAACTTGACGGTACATCAGTGACAGTCTTATTAGGATAGGTCTCCCCAGACCGACTCACTGGCCGTGAACATTTTAAACTAACACGAGTCTCATTAAGTGTCCAATTTAAGGGTCTTACACAGAAACATACCACACAACTTGAATCAAACATATACTTTATTCATTTACACTAAATGTCTAAAGTACATCAAAACTAATTGGAGCTAAGGGCATACAAACTGTCTAACACTGAATTAGAATGTGATCTGAAACCAGCCTTTGAAGGGCAATCTGCTTGAACTCTGGAAAGAGATCTTCCCAATTAGAAGTAACCAGAAACCTGTCCAGTCTCACAAGAGTGGGGAAGTCTTGGTTGTTGGTCCAAGTAAACCGGCTACCATGAAGGTGTAAGTCTTGAAGTTCAAATCTTTTGATGAAATCGGCAAACTAAACCATATCTGTGGATCTTCCCCCTCTAGAGCTTCTCTCATCAGCAAACAAGGTGACATTAAAATCACCACCAATAACCCAAGGGTAAGATAAACTTCCCCTCGCCACAACCAGCTCCTCCCAAAACTCCTCCCACAAACTTCAATCATTAGGACCATACGCATTAGTAATTTGACAAACATTACCATCTGCAAACTTCAAAACTAGGGAAATTGAGAAATTTCCAATCTGATAGGAAACCAAACTACAAACCGTCAGATCCCACATACTCAGCAACCCCCCTGCACTCCCGACTGCTAACTTTGATCTCCATCTAACTTCTCCCTCCCCCGAGATGCTTCTAACCACTGCAGCCTCAACGCTATCCAACTTAGTTTCTTGGAGCAACACATTTTTTGACCCTGACTTCTTCAGAGACTCACGCACTACAAGCCTCCTTCTACCCGACTCCAAACCCCTAACATTCCAAGAGAGCAACTTTAACTCCATTACAGACCCCTAAAGCAAAAGAAAGCTTGGCACCCCCCCCCCCCTCACACTCCCCTCACTACTGCCAGCTTTGTCATTTAAACCTCACGTTAGTCACATCATTTCTCTGCTTTTTTTAGATTTGTTACTCCTCTTCTTTGCTGAAGTTTTCCCCCTTTCCAAAAGCACTCTTTGCTCAACTCCCTCCAAATATTTGATTGTCTCCTCTTCCAACCCTTCTAACGAAATCCCCAGAAACTTACCCAAACGCAACATCTTTGAAGAGACCCAGGAAGAAGCACATGAACTCACTGGTTGTTTACCTACCAGACTCGGCTGAGCCAGCATCAAACTACTGATCTCCTGCAACCTAGTCTTTTGCAATTTTTGCATGAAGTGGCTGCTCTCAGACTCGAATCTCACACTTGTCCCGCAAACAATGCCCCCCCCCTAAGTTTTCACTTTCTTAACCATTCTCCCCCTAATAACAATGCTTTTCATGTAATTAGTCGGAGTGCTATTGATGAAGTACACCTCCTGAGTTGAGGCAAAGGAGAACTAGCCAAAGACATCATAATTGACCCAAAAGGAAATGTCTGTAAAATAATATCCACACAAAGCAACTGAGCAACTTTTGTGTCTGCTTACCACTAAAGGACAACTTCAAAGTTTGTCCCTCCAACACTGATTCTGGAGCCTGACATTTCTAATTGACATAAACATCCCTAACCTCTAATTTCCTGCCTAATTATTCAACTTTAGTTTGATGTTCAGTTTGAAGATGGTGCCTTTTGAACTTAGGTGGTTGATTTTGTGGATTTTCATCATCATCATCTAATCCTTGTCCCCATTGTTGGACATACAAATCCTATTTCTCTATTTCATTATGTTCAGTTTCCAAAACAAGGGTTTTACCCCAACTTTATGGTATAGGTGGCGTCCTTTCACATTCAGTAATGGAGGAAAAATGACTAGAAAAATCAGTTTTTGGTAGCTATAGCCAATTGTCACTTCAGATTCAATAATGGAGAAGTGACTAGAAACTTTGGCTTTCCTACACAGCACATTTTTCATCATTTTTTTAGACATACTCTAAAACTTACTAAACTTGGATGCCCTTACAACCTACAAAACATCATTGAAAAATTCCAATCCTAGACCTACTTTTTGTTAATTTGAAGCTTTTCACAGTTTTGGAACAAATTCACATTCTTGCAATTCAGCCCTAAGACCCTTCCTTCCCTAACCAATCTCTATGTTCAATCCTAAAATCATCCTTAAATCCTGCAGTAGCTAGATAATACTTTCTTAGACTCATACTTAGGTCATAGCTATCCTACATCATTTGCTACTGAAGCAATTGGTTCTACATTGATTGGTATCAGATCATTAGGGGTTTCCAAGCAGTCTGCTAAATTGATAATTACTGATTCTTTCCTCTTTTCTCCTATTCCATCCTGTTTCTGGTGTAGATGGAGTAAGATTATTATCCATAATTACCACCCCATATTTCATAATTGCTCTTTCCATAATTGTTGCCTCTCCTCTCAGAGCAAGCAGAAAAGCTAAATTTAACAAATCTCTATTTCCATTATTTAATCCATGAACGTGAACACGACCAACAGAGTGTGTAATATGGCAACTAAAACCTCAAGTACAATTACATATTAAGAGTCCATCATACAAGACATTGCATCCATTCAAGTTCCGAGTCCTGTTATATTATACCAATGTTCATTCATAACTTGTCAGGTGGTGCCCAAACAAGCTCATATGTTGCCAATCAAAAAGAAAAAAAAAACTCATTTTTATAGATGAAAATTGGGTCAGAGTTGCAAAAAAAGAGTAGGGGAGACCCAACACATACCACACCTTCACACTTGTCTTGACACTGGTATTTTGGGTAAAAAATCAAAGGCCCAGATATAACAGTTTAGGAAAAGAGTTTCAATAAATTGGGATGTAAGGCCTTTTCTATAGGTTTTTGTTGGGTTTTAGGGTGTGGAAATGTGTATTTGATGGGTATTTTTCTTCTCCTTGTTTTATTGGAATCGTTATCTATAACCATATAAATTTGTATATCCCCTTTCTTTTCTTTATTCCAATAGTTTTTTTTTTCCATTTTAAAAGAAATGGAATATCATATATGAAGAACTAAACTTCAGAATGTACGTGTGTTAGCAATACAAGGACAAAAAATGCACAATAACTTCTTCCTATATTGTTGGCACAGAGAGTTGGAAAATCAACTATTAAAGCTCAAATCATAAATAAGAACAGCAAAGTATTGGAAAAATATTCTACTGGTTGAAAAGAGAGAAGCATAGATACTAACAGTTGTAGCCTTGTCTGAGTACAACATTGCCTTCCCAATCAACTGTGCTCCAAACTCAAGATTATGAATTGTGAAGACAACCCGAGCTTTACTGAGGCCATAATGCATATAATGCTCCTTAAACAACCATGCAACAGGTGCACTAGACCAGTCATGGCAATGTAAAATATCCTGCTTGTGGCATAAACCAGTGTTCAGAATTAAGATACATATTCTTAAGAAGAACAAATAACATATATGAAAACGAATTATTATTGTAAACTTATACCAATTTTTATACAAACAGGTTGTAAAAAAATGAGAGGAAAAAAAGGAAAAAATTTAGTGATAAGTTTTTCCATTCTCCACAAGAAATATAAAGTTTGCAATACATAGACAAAGGAAAGTGGAATTTCATGTATTAAATGCACAAAATCCTTTTTCTATAAGTCTATAAACCATCCATCAAGACAGGGAAAGAATAAATTTATAAAAATAAAAAATAACAAAAAACAGTTCTTTGATAATAAACAAAATATGTATAGATGAGTCTCTGTCTGTATGTATCTATGCTAGCTGTACCTATAAATTCAGGTATGGGTTTACCAAGAAATACAGGAAGCTCATATGGTTACCTATTCACGCAGATAGCTCATAGGAATAGTTGATAAAAATGTATTAAGACGAGCATCAAAGATCAAACCATGTGATTCCAAAGGAATGCCATACTTGTTAATTTCAATCAGCCTAAGACTCAATAGTTGGTGTTACCCAGGCCTCCTTTAACTGGTTATTAATCTGCTTTGAAGACTGGTTCGGTTTTGTAGGGTTTTGATCCCACCTTGTAGTCGACAGTCCTGAAACCTTCAATTTTGGGACTGACATCGATATAACCCTATTGTTCGGAGATTTCTGCAGCATAATCTCAGTTTATTCGGTGAAGCGTTAATTCAGTATTGATCTTGAACTGTTACTGATTTAATTTGGGTGGTTAATCTCTGTTTCTTCCTTCCTTTAGCTTCATTTTGAGCTCTGATAACTTGTTTTAGTCTGTGGTTGTGATTCGGAATGTCTGAAAAGGCTGATATCAATCCCGTAAAGTTCAATGGAACTAGCTATAGCATGTGAAAGTTCCATTTTGACTTCTTTGTTGAAGGGAAAGGCCTGGAGGGATATTTGAATGGGAAGGTTACTGAGCCGGATGAAACTGATACCAAGGCTTATTCACAATGGAACTTGGATAATGGGAAAATAGTTTCTTGGATACTCAGCTCAATTGTTTCTCATATTGTAATACCCATGAGAAGAATGCATACTTTTTATGAGATGTATGCATACTTGAAGGTGTACCATCAATCCAACATGTGTAGACAGTATCAGATTGAATCTAAGATTTTTGCCTATTGCCAATGTAAGTAGGAGGTGGTCAGGCAGTGTGGGGGTGGTCTCCTTGAAGGACAGAGGAAGACCGGGAGCAGGGAATCAACCGAAAGGTTAGAGCAAAGGGAATGATGAGATGGCTTGAGCAGGAAATCCAATGATAGGGTTAATCAATGGTTGAATGAATGAATTTCGTTAAGAGGGGGATCCCTATTTATAGGGAATGGTCCCAAGATCCCGAAAGGAAGGAGCCAAAAGCGTCTGTTTTCTGTTAGGAAAGAGAATATTAGATTCATTGTCGGCCATTAACGAGTGTTGCTAGGGTTTTGCCAGTGTTTTTATGGGATCTCTCGAGGGTTTACTTTCCTTTCACCCGAGGATCCTCATAATCCACATGTGCTACTGCCTTTCGCTTCTCACTTAACCGACGTGGCATTAGTGATGTCATTACTTGGCAGGCAGCCTTTTATTAAACCTATGTGTCGCTCGGTTGCACGTGTAACTTAAAATTACATGTGCAGCCAGTATTAAGGCCCAGTTTTGGTGAACCAAGGTTCCACAACGGTCCAAGGTTTATTGCGAGGTCACGCTCACCCAGGATTCATCGCCGAGCCGCATGTGACTGAGGTTCACCGCAAAGTCGCATGACCAAGGTTCATCGCATGACCGCGCGTACAAAGTTCATTGCGGGTATAACTAAAACCTGTTTTAGGCTCGTATCGAGCACAAGTCTATTGCTAGCGTGCGATGAACCGTGTGTTTATCGCGAGCGTGCAATGCATTATAAGTTCATCACAGGCGACCAATGAGCTACAGGTCAATTGCAAGCGTCCATATGGTATCCATTTGGTGTTTTCTATGCTCTGAAGGACTGAGCAAGCACTATGTACCTACAACCAGAGAGATAAGAAGATTTAGGAATATTATGCCAGTTTCATTGACTTGTGGGCGGAATATGAGCTTGTCCATACAGACCCTTCAGACCTTGCAAAATGTGTCAAGTATCTCCAACAGCACTTTGAGAAGAGGAAAGTGAATAAATTCCTTATGAGACCTAGACCTGCATATGAGATAATTAGGTCTAACATTCTGAGTAGAGAAACTCTTCCAGATTTGGATTCAGTGATGGGAGTATTGATGGGAAATCAATTGACTCTGGAGCTGACACAACTTTTGTTGTTCAAGGAAACAAGAAATCTGGTCACAAGGACTTCTCCAAAATACAATGTTATGAGTGCAAGGGGTTTGGTCACATTGATTCTCATTGCAAGAAAAAGAATATTTGCACTTATTGTAAGCAACATGGTCACATCATTCCAAACTATCTGGCTAGACCATCTAAAGGTGTCCAAAAAGAAGAACCAGCCACATGCATATCAAGTGACTGAGGGGCAAACCAGCCACCTATGACGAGATCAAGACATCTATATCTTGTGGGCAAACTAATGCTGATGTCTCAACATCAATTTGAAGGGGAGTGTGGAAACACTTGTTGTACTATAGTCTTAGTCTTCTTTTCTTCTTTTTTATCTTTCATCCCTCTAAGGGCTCTTTTGTAATTCTTTGTTTTTTCTTCTTCAGCCCTTTAAGGGCTCCTTTGTAATTATACATAAATAATATATATTTTGACTCATTTGGGATGGGTACATTGGACACCTCTAAAACCTTTGTGTTCTCATGAACTGGAAGATTGACAAATTCCAGTTACTTTCTTTCAAAAAAAATATTTCTATCGGTATCAACATATTTTTTATAGCGTAACATTGTTTTCATGCTAATTTCTTGCTAAAAGAATCTTTGAATAGTCCTTTTTGGGGTGTAAATGGGCTATAGTATATTATCTTCTTGTTTTTAATATGATTCAATACTTTACCTGCCACCAATATATTTTTTTGAAGATAAATAAAGAAAAAAAATTTATTAACTAAGTAGAAAGAGAAGAATACAAATGGTGATAAGGCATCACCCAAAATGGAACAAAACAACTGAGGCCCAAAAGACATCTATCATGCAGAACTCGAAACACCCCACACCACTCCCAAACAACCAAAAATAAAACAATAAAACTCCGAGGAAGACCCCTAACTCGCCTTCCAAAGATCACACCGGAGAAACCTCACTGTTAGGTTGAAGGTTTTTTATGTATTGATGGTTCGGCTGATAAGAGTTCTTATTAGCCTGTATTTGAGTTTAAGTTATTATGTATTGGGCCTATGTTAATGGGCCTAAGCTTGTTTAGTGTTTTAAGTTGTCTGGGTGTCCCATCACTAATCAGGGGCATTCCAGTCTTTTTCTGTAACATTGTACTATACTCTAATATAAATAATAGTACTGTCGACTAGGCTATTCAGTTCGACATTCTCAGCATCTCTTGGTCTCCTCTCTTCTACTACTTCGGCTACAGCATTTCAGCTTTCATGGTATCAGAGCATTGAGCACCTTCCTGGTTACAGCTGACGCCATCTCCTCTCTCCTGCTGTCTTTCTTCTTCCTTTTTTCATCTTGGTTGCTGCTGTGAAACCCTAGGGTTGCAGGAGAACAACACAAGGTTCGAACTTAGGGTTTCTCTTGGTTGTAGGGCGCAAGGGAAGTAAGACCCAGAAGCTGATGTCCTACTAGACTGTTTCTAGTAGTTAGCAGCTATTCGGCTGCTAAGAGAGGTCTGTATAGGACAGACCTAGTTGAGGACTGATTTCAGCAGTCCTAGTATTGGCCGTAAGGAGGGGCACTCTCTTTACAGTTGCAGTACTCGAAGTTCAAGTGGAGTCTGCATAGCACAATAGTGGAGAGCCCTTAGTTTCAGGTCGGTTACCAGCCYAGAACACCTCACTTGCTGCTGTAACTGAACTGCTTCAGAACTGTGACAGTCTCGGCAAGTCTGAAACTGTGTTGAGAGCTGTCAAAACCTGCTGTGATCACTTCGGCTAATCAGAACCTGCTTCAGAACCTGCTGTGATCACTTTGGCTAATCAGAACCTGCTTCAGAACTGCTTCAAAACCTGTTGTGATCACTTCGGCTAATCAAAACCTACCTCAAAACTGGTTCAGAACCTTCAGAACTGCTTCGGCTAGTCTTAATCAGTGTCA